AAGTTCACTTCTGGGGTGTCTATAGATGTACTTGCATTTCTTTATGAAATTGAATAGTACAAAACAAATTAAGCCTTGCCAGCTCACCTAAATCACCACTGCTTCGTTGTAGCCTTAAAATAAAAATAGTTGATGTGGTAATTGTCCCAGCTGAATAGTCATATATGTGTCGTGGAGTGTACCTGTATTGAAGCCACGATCCAATGCTGGCCATGGTTTATGGTTCTTCCAGAGATTCCCCAGGTACCAATCACTTTGGTTTTCCACTAGTCCAATCACTTGTTTATCTGGATTAAAGATGACACCAATCAGATCCAGTGCAAGGTGCTAACTTTCCCCATTCTCAAGATAAGATCCCAGCTCACTACACTAGACCTCAATAATTGATTCTCCCATTCCTATTTTCTAACAATCTGAAAAGCAGCATAACTGGATGGATTAGGAAACAAATCCATATTATGTCACATTCCTATAAACCTGCTCAAACCACTATGCCACAGAAGTAGTTCTCACTTTATGATTCTTCATTCAGCAACTGTTCAAAATTACAACAGCACTTCAAAAAGTGAGTTATGACTTGAACCCCAAGGTTACAGCTGTTACATACAGTGCTGGGACTCCATTGTTAAAACAATGTGGCCGTGTGATATTGAACATGTTGACCAGAAAATTGTGGTTGTAAGTCGAGGACTACGTAGATTTTAAACGACTTACCAGAGCAGATAGCCAGATGATATAAACCAGATTGGCTAGCTGGGAATCCTGAACAGAATACCAATCTATCTAGACAGCATCAGATTAGGGAAGAACAGTCTGAATTGTGGATCTCAAGAAACTGTTGAACAACTTGTAGCAGCTATATTGGCTCTCTCTATGTATGTATGTATGTATGTATGTATGTATGTATGTATGTATGTACATCAGGGGTAGTCAACCTTGGCTCTTTTATGACTCGTGGACTTCAACTCCCAGAATTCCTGAGCCAGCCATGCTGGCTCAGGAATTCTGGGAATTGAAGTCCACGAGTCATAAAAGAGCCAAGGTTGACTACCCCTGATGTACATCATGTAGGGCCACAGCTTCCATTCTGAGAAGATCTGGAAAAAATCCTCCCATCCCTGACTTACCTGAGAACTTCCCAAAGACAGCCCACAGCTCAGCAATGTCAGTAGCAAATGTGATGTCAGTATCAAGGACGATGACCTTGGAAAGGTCAGAGGGCAAAGCTTTAGTGAGTGTCAGCTTCATCAATCCATAGATTCCCGAGTAATGTTTGTTGGGGATCCAGGAAATGTCTGGCTGTAGCAAGAAGAGAGAAAGGCACTGAGGAATAAAATGGCAAGATCACATGCTTAAGCTATGGGCAAGGTCAACCTCTAATCATATTGCTTCTATGGCTCATGACTAATGAAATTCTATTTAACACAGGAATGCAACTCTCTGTGATCCAGAGCCACAAATGAGAGTTGCAGAGATGCTTGCAAAGATTTTCAACAAACATGGAAAGGCAGAAGCCCCATACAAAGACACTTCACCTGATTTACTTTTTATATCTACAGCAACATTAACGAACATACGGAAAAATTTTTTGATTCAGCAAAATACATTGATTAAGAAAGATACTGGGCAAAGGAAAAAGACTAAAGTGGAAACCAAGAAAATAGATGATGGGACTTGCCAGAGAGAATACTTAAAAAAGAAACATTTGTTTGAATATGGTTAAAGAAATAGAAAAGTTTTGGAATATATATGTCATTCTAAGAGGGATGAATTCCCTAAATAATATAGTATGCTTTTTTCCCTTTTTTGTTCTCTTTCGTGATATGAGTAATATAAAAAAGGAAATGTTTTAGATACTTAAATGTGATTGAATTTAAGAAAATTATAATAAAAAATGTTTTGAATAAGAGTTAAAGGACTAGATGACTAGATGTAGTAAATGGAATGTTTAAAGATTAAACATATTTTTAATTATGGTTAAAAAGAATAAGAAATTTAGGAAATAAATATATATTAGCTTAGGAGGGATATATATTTTGAGTAGTGTGTTATTTTTTATATTTCTTTACTCTTGCTCTGTTTTCTTTTTCTTTTTCATTGTTTTATCTATTTCTTAAGAAATGTAAAAGTGTGAGATGGTTCATATGGAAAAATAGAGTTAAATTTTTTAATGTAATTAATTTTTGAGAAAATCTTAACCAGTAAGAATACCTAGAATTTGGTGGGAGAAACAAACTAAAATAAGGACTGTAACAGGATCTACGGTAAGGCAACCAGAATGATTGGATAGAAAAGAAATATTATATCGATGTGATTATTATTTTTAGGAATATTGGGGGGAAAATATATATTTAATTGTTATCTATCAAAACAATAAGAATTGTATTAACTCAATGTTTGTAAAAGAGGATATTTTGGGAAAAGAGGAAATCAACTAAAACCATTATGTGGATTATGGATTATAGAAATCAATTGTTAATGATTGTTTTACAAATGTAACCCAGACAACACACTATTCACCAATTATTAAGTGATTGGTATTTTTTTTAAAAAGTCAATAAAATATATTACAAAAGAAAAAAATAATAATAAAAGCCACCAATTCCTGTTACGCAACTGTTTTCCCAACTATCAAGACAAAACTTTGCTAAAAAGAATCTGCTTTAGCATCTTCCTGGATCGCTCATGCAATTATCTTTTGTCAATTGTTGGTAAAATGTAAAAGAGGCAGAGGACGCTGCTTTGGTTTTTTATTTTACGGTGAAGAAGATCTACAGGTGGTCCTCAAGTTACGACCACAATTGAGCCCAACATTTCTGTTGCTAAGTGAGACAGTTGTTAAGTGAGTTTTGCCCCAAGTTATGACCATTCTTGCCACAGTTGTTAAGTGAATCACTGAAGTTGTTAAATGAGTAACACGGTTGTTAAGTGAATCTGGCTTCCCCCAGTGTCTTTGCTTGTCAAAAAGTTACAAAAGGGGATCACAAGATTCTTGGACACTGCAGTCTTCATAAATATGAGTCAGTTGCCAAGTCTCTGAATTTTGATCATGCGACCATGGGGATGCCGCAACGGTTGTTAAGTGTGAAAAAGTCATAAGTCGCTTTTTTCAGGGCCATTTTAACTTTGAACGGTCACTAAATAAACTACTGTAAGTTAAGGACTACCTGTAATACCATCAATAAAGCAGGCCCTTCGGTAGCACCAGAATAAAATTATCCATGTCCCTAAATCCCTTAACTGTAGCCTAGCTCAGGGGTAGGCAACCTCGGCTCTTTTATGACTTATGGACTTCAACTCCCAGAATTCCTGAGTCAGCATAGCTGACTCAGGAATTCTGGGAGTTGAAGTCCATGAGTCATAAAAGAGCTGAGGTTGCCTACCCCGGCCTAGCTCCTTGTGAATCTGTGTTTCTAGTTCTGTTTGATTATGAAGAACACCTATACGGCCATGGCTAAGAAATTAAAGTAGAACATTTAGGGTCACCTATGGGTGTCAAATATCATGTTATGCCTCTGGGCAACTTCATAGCTCTCCTGAATTGAATTGCTCAAGCCAGCGTTTTAATTTTCTGCCCTTGTTTTAGTTTGCCAAGGAGATTAATCTTCTTAGAAGTCCTGAATTGCAGAACGGTATTCTATGGATATGAATTATTTCAACTTTATATCCCGGATGGCTGACTGCTGCAGCCTTGACATTTATTCATTATACCCGGTCTTGCAGACAATTCATTATCGTTTGGATCCAAGATCCAGCTCCCTTGCAATAATGGAAATGATTTTCGCTGCAACAATGTAACTTTTCTGCACTGACAAAGAGACGGGCCTAGCATCCCTTCCCCCTGCAACTGATGAATGCCAGCTTATCCAGACTTCCAAACACGCCCTTTGGTCAAAGGCTCTCCAATGTGAGACTGGCTAGAAATGTTAAGAGGCTTATGCATTTAGGGTCCAGGCAGAAGAAGAGCCCAATTTGGCAGAGCTCCAGCATGATTAGCAAGATTCCAGCCCCGTGGGATTATGGCATCCATACCTACGGCTGGATCGCTCTCTGGGTGGGGAAAGGAGATCTAAGAGCACAATCTTGGTTTGGGCATCAAAGCATGCACGCCCATGTTTAGATTGCTGTTTGGACAAATTTGCAGGGAGAAGGGCTAGAGTGCATTCCCACAGGGTTTTAGCCATGGAACATAAGATTTACTTTTTGAGGATGGGGAAAGTGTCTATTCCAGACGTGTCAAACACAAGGCCCGGGGGCCGGATGCGGCCTGCGAAGTGATTTCATGTGGCCCGCGAAGCCATCCTGGAAACAGTGAGGGAACGGCCCCCTCTGCCTTGGCCCTGGCCCAGGCCAGCTGGGAGCCAATGTACAATTTTGTGGTGGCCATCTATGCTGAAACGCATTCAGTCTTAGCTCCATAAGCCCCCCCCCCCCCCGCATGGCCTGAGAGGAACAGCGAGGCTCCTCCAGTGGACCATGCCTTGGCACTTGCCCTGGTCCCACCCCCTTCTGCCAGAGACCCTCAGATCTGTCCCACTCCTGCCCAGGCCCCCATAGGCACCCTTGACGCAAACAATGTAGAGCTGGCCACGCCCACCCAGTAGGCCACACCCACCCNTTTTTATTTTACGGTGAAGAAGATCTACAGGTGGTCCTCAAGTTACGACCACAATTGAGCCCAACATTTCTGTTGCTAAGTGAGACAGTTGTTAAGTGAGTTTTGCCCCAAGTTATGACCATTCTTGCCACAGTTGTTAAGTGAATCACTGAAGTTGTTAAATGAGTAACACGGTTGTTAAGTGAATCTGGCTTCCCCCCCGTGTCTTTGCTTGTCAAAAAGTTACAAAAGGGGATCACAAGACTCTTGGACACTGCAGTCTTCATAAATATGAGTCAGTTGCCAAGTGTCTGAATTTTGATCATGTGACCATGGGGATGCTGCAACGGTTGTTAAGTGTGAAAAAGTCATAAGTCGCTTTTTTCAGGGCCATTTTAACTTTGAATGGTCACTAAATAAACTACTGTAAGTTAAGGACTGCCTGTAATACCATCAATAAAGCAGGCCCTTCGGTAGCACCAGAATAAAATTATCCACTGTAGCCTAGCTCAGGGGTAGGCAACCTCGGCTCTTTTATGACTCATGGACTTCAACTCCCAGAATTCCTGAGTCAGCATAGCTGACTCAGGAATTCTGGGAGTTGAAGTCCATGAGTCATAAAAGAGCCGAGGTTGCCTACCACTGGCCCTAGCTCCTTGTGAATCTGTGTTTCTAGTTCTGTTTGATTATGAAGAACACCTATACGGCCATGGCTAAGAAATTAAAGTAGAACATTTAGGGTCACCTATGGGTGTCAAATATCATGTTATGCCTCTGGGCAACTTCATAGCTCTCCTGAATTGAATTGCTCAAGCCAGCGTTTTAATTTTCTGCCCTTGTTTTAGTTTGCCAAGGAGATTAATCTTCTTAGAAGTCCTGAATTGCAGAATGGTATTCTATGGATATGAATTATTTCAACTTTATATCCCGGATGGCTGACTGCTGCAGCCTTGACATTTATTCATTATACCCGGTCTTGAAGACAATTCATTATCGTTTGGATCCAAGATCCAGCTCCCTTGCAATAATGGAAATGATTTTCGCTGCAACAATGTAACTTTTCTGCACTGACAAAGAGACGGGCCTAGCATCCCTTCTCCCTGCAACTGATGAATGCCAGCTTATCCAGACTTCCAAACACGCCCTTTGGTCAAAGGCTCTCCAATGTGAGACTGGCTAGAAATGTTAAGAGGTTTATGCATTTAGGGTCCAGGCAGAAGAAGAGCCCAATTTGGCAGAGCTCCAGCATAATTAGCAAGATTCCAGCCCCGTGGGATTATGGCATCCATACCTACGGCTGGATTGCTCTCTGGGTGGGGAAAGGAGATCTAAGAGCACAATCTTGGTTTGGGCATCAAAGCATGCACGCCCATGTTTAGATTGCTGTTTGGACAAATTTGCCGGGAGAAGGGCTAGAGTGCATTCCCACAGGGTTTTAGCCATGGAACATAAGATTTACTTTTTGAGGATGGGGAAAGTGTCTATTCCAGACGTGTCAAACACAAGGCCCGGGGGCCGGATGCGGCCCGCGAAGTGATTTCATGTGGCCCGCGAAGCCATCCTGGAAACAGTGAGGGAACGGCCCCCTCTGCCTTGGCCCTGGCCCAGGCCAGCTGGGAGCCAATGTACAATTTTGTGGTGGCCATCTATGCTGAAACGCATTCAGTCTTAGCTCCATAAGCCCACCCCCCCGCATGGCCTGAGAGGAACAGCGAGGCTCCTCCAGTGGACCATGCCTTGGCACTTGCCCTGGTCCCACCCCCTTCTGCCAGAGACCCTCAGATCTGTCCCACTCCTGCCCAGGCCCCCACAGGCACCCTTGACGCAAACAATGTAGAGCTGGCCACGCCCACCCAGTAGGCCACACCCACCCTGGCCACACCCACCCGGTCCCGAGGGCAACCGCAATGCTGATGCGGCCCTCAATGAAATTGAGTTTGACACTCCTGGTCTATTCTATGGCCAGATGTCGCCCCAATGATATTATTGATTTGGTTAGTGGAGCAACTTAAGTAAGTTCAATCCATCCAAATAGTGACCCAGATTCCCACCCAGCCCTCAAAAAACAACAGAACGAAAAGCCAATGGGATAAGCATTAAAAAAAAAAAAGAGTGGGACATTCAAAAGGAGAGGAGATTGGGTGGAGGCAGGGGCAACTCACGTATGGATTTCCTTCTCCTACCTTCAAGTCGTCAGCATTGTAAAAGCTAACTTGAACTGAGGGCACCATCCAGGTCTGGAAGACCGTCTGTAGTATCTGTCGGGCCACTGAGTCTGTGATGAGATGGAAGTGGAGAGGATTCTTCCTATCAAATGGGAGTAAAGTTTATGCTCACAAGAAATGGGAGCAAAACATGTAAGAAAACAGTCCTATCCCACTCTCCAAATATTTTTCATCATCATCAGATGATAGCATGATAGTTTACAAACCCGAGACTCACTATAGTCCCATCTACTCTACTCTCCTGAGTAAAACAAGTTAGGGCAGAGTAGACTGCGTAAACGGTTGAAGATTAAATCCAAATTTCCCCTGCTTTTCATCTTTTCTCCTATATCCAGAACTGCAGCTTGGAAACCAAGGTGGAGAAGAACAGCACCACATTTGAATCCCCCCAAGTTCTAAAGACTGAAAGAGCCAAAAACGTCAAGAGCTACTGAACGACATAATAACAACACTTGCCCCTTCACGTTCAGCTTACCTGTGGAAGAGGATCGATTTCACCAAGGTAACTACATCCCGGCTTGCATTGTATCCAGCACAAACAATGGCAACATGGAGGAGCTGTTCAGAAACACAAAAAACCATCAAGCCATCAAAATTCTTTTCCACTTTCTTCTCCTTTACAAACCAAGCCATCAGAAGTTACTGCACCCATCATTCTATAGCAGGCACGTCAAACTCGCAATGTCATGTGACATCATGCAACGTATCGGGACTTTTCCCCCATTGCCGGCAATGGGCTGGGCGCGGTTTCGGCATGAGGCATCTGGCCCATGGGCTGGCAGTTTGACATGCCTGTTCTATAAGCTCCTGTGTATTTTGTTTCCATCAGTAATAAACCCTTAAAGAACCAAACAGAGTTCAGACACAAATGGAAGCCAGATGCAAACTAATAAGGGGTTGGATTAGAGACGTCTAAGGTCGCTTCAAACTCTGTCATTCTGTTAATACTATTTCTTTGCCTGTACTTATTTTGTGGCCCCATGAAGCCTCCTCCAGATTCAACTTTTGAAAATTGGAATCATTTTGGGGGTCACTTTGAATCCAGAAACACATCCCAACACTGGCATAAAGTAGGTTTTATGTATTTAAAAAAAAAACAAAGTTACCTACCCAAAAATAAGGGAGAAACAGGGAGTCCTCGCCCTACCCAAAGGCGTGATGTGACCCTCTCTATTTGCCTCTTTGCTTTGACTACCGTGACCCTCGCATTCCTCAAAGTTAACAATTATCCCACGTTACTAGAAGGCTGCCAACTTCTTGCTCTCCTGAATTAGAGCACAAATACTTCTGCCAAGTAAATATCACAGTACTTTTAAGCAAAAAGGGGCCAGAAAGAGAACACTATGAGTTATGTTCAATAGTTTAGGGAACAGAATTAATCAAGGAGATTGGGCCACAGTATGCCTCTTCTTATGACTACTAAACCTTCCCTAATTTGGGCAGACTTCTTTGTTCATGAACAAGCAGTCCACAATATGGAGTTGATAATGAGTTTTCATTGTTACCTCACACTTCTGAACCATCCTCTGTTTAGGACAACCACTATAGTTGCTCCTTCCTTCCTGCTCTTTGATGAACTGTAATCCCTGCTGGCTGAAGTCCATTCTACCCGGGGTCTCCTCCTGTGCCTGAGAGTGGCTGAGCTGCAGCTTCAACAGTTGGTTTTCCTCTTCCATTTTTCGCACCTGGGATGCCAAGGCTTCACGGTCAAGGTACTGACTTGACTGTTCTCCAAAGCAAGGGGGCAGCATAAGGGAACATCCATCTATAGAAGAAATCCCCAAAAGTGTAAATAGGAGAATGGGAAGCACTACATCTCCCACCACCGAGCCGTCGTGTCATGAAACCAGAATAAGAAAGGTTAAATGCAAATCACAGCAGGATCAAATAATTAAAATATTCTCTTTTCCCCCACTGCTTTGTAATTTACCAGTTTCCTTACCATTCCCTATAAGCTGTCTCTTTTTTGTTATGTTTTAAAGACTTCAATGCTTAAATAAAAATGGTGATTATTACAAAAGGGGGGGGAGAGAATATCAAGCTGAATGTTCAAGGAAACCCATAATCCATATCACATGTTAAAAATATAGAAACCTTCTCTAGCCTGACATCTTCCAGATTTCAGACTTTAAATCCTGTAAGTCCCAGTCAATGCATAAGAAAACAGGGCAGACTTTGTCCAAAGATTTCAAATGCTACCAGGTCTATGCTCGCCATAATCCACTCATGCACCCGGGCCCATTTTTAGAAACCACCTTCTCCCATTCTAACTCCAGATTACCCATAAAGAGGTAAAGCCATGAGATGAGGAAAACCAGAGTCACTGTGGCAAGCAGCAGCTTCAGCTTCACACGCCAAGGACACAGCATGATGGTGGCAAAGGTCAGGTAGGCAGACCTAGCCTCACTGGAGCCAGCATTCTCTAGCCTGCAACATAAAGGAACACATGAAGTGTTACCAGCATCCTTCAACCCAAGGAATCTCCCTTAGTTGCAAAATTGATATGAGGACTTTCCAGAGCCCGGGCCACAACAGTTGCTAAGACACCTCCTTCGTAAGAACAAGCATTCCATATTTAGTTTTGATGAGCGTGAATGCATCCCAACTCTACTGGCACCCAACACTGCTGCTTAATCTATTCAGCGACCAGATGGCTTGAGTCACTGTCTCTTTCTAACAGCAGTTTCATCAACTCTCCAAATAGACACGTTTGCTTCATGCAGAGACTGGGCTGATGGTCATCAAGACTGATAATATGGTTCATGATTAATGACAGCAACTGACAATCACAGTTATAGAACACCAGCAAGCATCTTTTGCCTCATCGGTCAAGCAGTAGCTAGAAAAATAGTAAAGCTACTTCCTCTTTAACAGTTTCCTGAGTTTGTGGATAATGGCAAATTAAATCTGCAGGATGCAAGCAAAATCCTAATGAAAGGAAAGAGGGCGATGCACACATCAGAAATTACCCCGAAGAAGTGTTTGGGATCTCATACTGTGGAAGGGCAGCACTTCTGCTATTCATTAGATTAGATAGATATTTTCCGGCTTCTGCATCAGAAGTTCATGCACCTCTTCAAGCAGACACATTTTTCTTCTTGGGCTGGTACAGAAGACTTGAAAAAAAGATTCCTTGTCTTATAAAACATCAGAGAGGTGCTTTTGAAATATGAACAGCCCTAGAATGCCGCCCCTTTAAGAGCAACTAAGTCACCCCTCTGTTCTGGATGTAATACTGTTAAGAAGCCTTATCAACGATCAGTACCCAATGTGACAATGTGATTGATATGCTGTTAAAAATAACACTCATCAACAGACAGAAACGTATTTTATCTTTAGCTATTCTTTTTATTTATTTGCAATCCTTATAACCGGCAGAGTCCTTGATGGTGGTGTCTATTTTCACCCTCTTTCTCTCACACAAAATATCTGAATTGAGCTGCTTCTTACTCTTCTGGAATACACCCCCTCCAAGGGATCCACCTCCCTTCTACATTCCATCACAGTACTATGGTGAACAAAGCAATTTCAAGGTGTGGTTTTCGCATTTAAAGCCCTCTATGGCTTGGGATCCAGTTACTTTTGGGACCATCTTTCCGCAGTTATCCCAAAGATGCTTTTTCAAAAGGCAACTGGATTTTGTTTTTTTCCCTTGAACAGGTTTCACTTCTCATCCAAGAAGCTTCTTCAGTTCAGTTCAATCAGAACTGAAGAAGCTTCTTGAATGAGAAGCCCCAATGTCCTCAAGGAAAAAATCAAAAGTCCAGTTGCCGTTTGAAAAAGCGCCTTTGGGACAAACCATGATCTGGATGACTGAGAATCTTCATAGGCTTTCTGCAGTTACTTTTCCCCATCCAATCCGGTAGGAGGGACATGGTCAAGATACTATCGGCTAAGGAATGTCAGCTAGCGAGACCTAAAAGAAGTGTCTTTTCTGCCATGGCACTTACCCTTTTGAACATCATCCTGTCTCTGCTGGCCTTCCATAAGGCCTTGAAAACTTGATTTTGTGCCTGAGCCTGGGGCCCTGGGTGTGTGACAGAGCCTATCTCCTGCTTACCTTGATAATTGTTTGGATGATGCCTGCCTGATATGGGCTTTATTTTTTATATTCTATATTTATATTTATATATAAATGCATATATATTACTGGAAGCCACCTACAGTCATATATGTGAAAAAATCAAATAAATAAAAACTGCTGAAAGCCGCAAAACCCATGCCTGGTCTCAAAAGGATCCAGGGCATGCTTAAGAGCCAAGGAGATATAGTGGTGGTTAACTCTCAGCTCAGCTTACTTCACACAATTATTGTTGTGGGATAAAATGGAAACCTCCCTGAGGGCTGCTTTTGAAAGAAAGATGAAATAGAAATCAAATACATTTCATAGTTATATAGCTGTACCTGACTTTGGCTAACTAACTAATGCTGTTTATACATTTACCTCACTTTTCTATTTCAAGACACGCATGAGCTACATCATGATTTCTGCTGAAGGAGAAAGAAACCAGCAATCCCTGAGTATCCAGGGAGTCATGAAATACTTCCATCCCACCAGACTTCATGATTATTTCTTCTTCCTTCTTTCTGAATCCTTTTCACCTTCTGTGCTATGACTTTCTGCTGCATGCTTAAAAGCAGGGATTATCTGCTTTCTGTTATTACTGCTGGCCTGTTTATCACTCTTTTCACTTCCCAGATGGGAAAAAAATTAAAGCTTTAAATACTTTAAATACTTTTCAAAATCATCCATGAAGTAGAAATGTAGAGAATGGTTCAAAAATCCCCAACTGTTAACATAAAAATTTAACTACAGTAGATATAAATTCTATGTTTTATTACGATTTGGAAGCAACATATCCTATATTTTCAGCTGGCTACATCTGATTTCTTTCCCTTGCAACTAGACCAGCAAATGTTAGACAGAAAACCAAGAATTTCTTGTGTACTTTTGTCAGCTTAATGCCCCATTGTCTCACAGAACAAATCCTTAAGCCTTCAGCTCATGGTAACTTACTGAATTCTCTTAGTGGCCAAAGGTAATTTTCGATCAGATCAAAGCTCCATTCATACTAATGTGTCACTAGCTAAACCAAGTGGAAAGCATATTATGAATGCCTGCTCCTTAATTTTCCTGCTTGCTACAGTGAGAAGGCCTGGGTGTCCCTTCTTTCCTGTTTATATAGTGCCACTTGCCAAAAAGCCCCAGCTCAGGTGATCTCTTGTGATTCCATTTTGTATTTTACTGGCACAAGTTAATCCCACACAAAGGAACTGAGAAAGCCCCCCCCCTGCAATGCTTTAAGGGGAACAGGAGAAGAAACCAATAATTAAAAGATATACCTAAATTGCCTTAAACGTTTTGAGAGACAACTGTAAGAACCACAGGCCCTTTTTTTTTTTAGAAGAATAAATCTACATTTTTGATGTATGGGGCATGTCAGTGCAGCTCTGGAAGTTGCCTGAAGATCAAAAGCAAGAGGAGCATGCTGGAAAGGAGATAATCTCCCATAAGCTATAATTCGCTCAGACCCATGGGTTCTATATATTTCTATATTCCTTTTTTGAGCAGTTCATTCCTTCTTCCCCCCTTCTTTATCTGCAGAGACCCTTCTCTGCTGAAAGCCAAGCATCTTAAAACCTCAATTATCACTAGAATGGATACAAGATCGGCTATTTCTTCTTCTCTGCAAGGATCAAAGCTGATGTTATTCAGGAAAAATCCACTCTTCCTTAGAAGCTTCTCCATAGCTCATGAAGTTAAGGCCAAATCTCTCCAGAAGCTTCTTCCTCTCCCCCACCCCGCCCCACCCCAAGGGGGTTATGCATCCATTGAACAGAGCACTCAAAATGAAAACCTTCCAAAAGGAGACCAAAGGGTTTTCCCATACCAGCCTTTTGTGACCTGGATCCTCCCTGAAGTAGCGATTTCAATTTCCAAAATTACTTAGCTAATCTACCCATTGCTAAGGACTTGGGAAATTGGGAACAACATCGGAACAGCACCTAGGCCAGAAGGTCTGCTGTTTTCACTGTATTCGGTTAGTTTGCCCATAAAAAGAAAGACATAATGTAGATTGTTAGGGGGGGGGGAGTTAACAAAAACAGTAAAATTTGAAGAGAAAACCACAGATGCTCTTGTGTAAATGCTGAACAACGGCTAGAAAACTGGGAACGCTGCCTGTGTTCTGCATAACAGCTGGAGGCTATGCAGCCGCCTCTTCTTTTAGTAGTTATCAGAGGGTAGGATTATTAACCTCTCCCATTCTTGGGCCTCTTATTGCAAAGATCTTTCCATGAATCTCTAACAGAGGAGAGGAAAAGAAAAGAGAAAACATGGCCTGTGGCCCAGGAAACTACTTTCCACTGGGAATAAATAAATCTGCACCATTGCTTTCTCCTGCGTTCATTTAATTGAAAAAAAAAGTTCCAGTTCTTTCCATTCTATTTATGGAGGAATGTGCTAATATAACTTATTTAAAAAATGAGGCTGCTTTCTTTCCAAATCTTTATAAGGATTCTTTGATAAGGAACATTGTAGAGCTGCTGCTTGACCAAATGGCAAAGCCCATCCCACAGCAAACAAGTTACTGTAGCAAATGTAACACGTGGATTAAACTTGCATGCAGAACTCGTGTAAGCCAAACATACGGAGAGCAACAGGTAGCTTTTCTGGAGCACTGCCTTGGATTTAGATCACAAGTCACAAATGTATTTTCTTCGCTTATTTCAGAGTAGCTGTTTCTGACACAGAAAACAACTGCCGGTGGGACACCATCAACTTCTACTCCCCATCTGACCTTTTCAGCTGCTGACTCCTTCCTTTACTATACAACCATTTGAAGCACTGTTTTCCGATCTTGCCTACGTTACTCCGCAATAGCCAAACATCATCTGATGAAGTAAGCTGCAGCTCATGAAAGCTTGTCTGTCCATCAAGTCATCGGTCACATTTTGTAACTGTTCATCTCCCTCACAGAGGGGCTCTGGACCGGTGTCCATTAAAATATTAACATATAAAGAAAAGTTAAAATTTAAAAAGAGGTACGTATGATTAAAACAATGTTAAAAATTAATTAAAAGGCAAAGGGGTAGGCTTCTTGGGCGTTAACCAGCCCCAGAGTTGTGTGCTCTTCTGTGCTCCACACGCAAGGCTGCAGAACCATACTTTCACACCTTTTATCTTATGCCTTTTCAGTAAAATTTGTTAACAAGACAAGGTGCTACCAGACCTGTTATTAAATGGATCACAGTAAGCTTATAGATAACATTGGGAAAGTCACGCTTATCAGTACAGACAATAGTGGACAAAAGGCCACCTTATTTCCTGCAGCCTTCTAAAGACGTTGAGCAATAAATCTCAACATTT